TAAAATTCAAATGAGCTATTGTCTGGCTAGCCAAACGGCGAACTGCAATAGAATTTGCTGCTTTGCCAAACTTGACGGAAACAGTAATAAACAAGATGGTGACATCTTTTTTTTTTGCTATATGGGCATGTGTAGTATTTTGAAATAGAAAAAAATCAGGCAACATTGCGAAATGATGGATGTGGAGAGGCGTGATTATTCAGAGGCATGATTCTATTGGTGAGAGCCTAAGGTTAGAGCCTGAACGACAGCACAGTGGCGTGGTTATTGGCGAAAATTAAAAAATAAATTCTAATAATTTTATTGGTTCATTTCCTTGGTGTTTTCGGTGCCACTGAACCCAAAGACATGGTTGTCATCAAGCGGTGTCAGTTGACTTGTCAGTGAATATTCTTAGGTTACGCCTCACTTTTCTTCCCCCTTTCGTCTCTAACAACTTACCACTTGGCAGACTATATGTGACTATGTGAGGGTTCTCGAAAACCTTTGTCTGGCCTGAATGCTCAGGTAGGTGAGGTAGGTTTATCCACAATCATACATGTAATGTTGAATTTACTGACTTTTAAAAAGTTCGAAAATGTCACTTTTTTGATATTACTTTCGACCCGTGGGTCGAAAGTGAATGAAATTTTTACAATTTATTGTATTTTTTGGCTTTTACTTTCGTCCAGTGGGCCGAAAGTAAATGAAATTGTTAATTATTGTATTTTTTTAGTTTTAATTCAAATAAAAATTCCAAAATTCGAATGATAGTCAATAAAATAGTATACATATCGGGTCTTCAAAAAAAAAACCAATCAAAGATTGCTATGGTTTTTTGAACGTACGTCTTAGCAATATTTTTCTTTAATTTTGACAATGTCAGTCAATGAAATTTTATGTCAAAATGTTATGTCAAAAATCCTGACCAATAAATAAACAATAATGCGACGTACGTTTTCGTAACCAAAGCAATCTTTGATTGGTTTTTTTTTTGAAGACCCGATACCTCGGTGAAAAGTTTTATTACTGTATCAAATCTCTCGACACTTTCCACCTCGGTATGTAATATTTCTTGTTCCGTTAATGAAAATTCTAATTTAAGAATTGATGTTTATTTGTTCCTTTGTGTTGTGGAATGCTTTATGCGGTATTTTTTGACATGAAACGCTCTTGCTGGTAAAAACATCATATTAAGAAGACTAAATGCATGGTCGAAACGTCGGCATAATTTTTTCGGAAAGGGAGATTTATTTTTTATTTTTGAAAACCTGAACCCATCAACTCTGCTCTGTCGTTAAGTATATGTTATGCATATTTTAAAAATTTGGTATAAACTTTTTTCAAGACTATCAAGACCAAGACCAAGACTATCAAGACCAAGACCAAGACTGAGCTATTCTTGTCTTGGTCTTGAAACATCAAGACCAAGACCAACACCAAGACCGCATTTATTTTTCGAGACCAAGACTCTTGCGAAGCCCTAGGCTCGAACATCGGTTCATGTGACCACACAGAAACGCAGACACCCTCCAGACCTAATAACCGAAATCCGCCATAGGAACCGACTAAGGAGACTCGCTATCCGCACTGGTGAACCCTACTTGAAAAATCAAGTTAATCGACTTAATAGAAGAATCCATAGTCAAGTTAACTTCTGCTACGATGAATCCTGGCAAAAGAAACTGGAGGCAGTCCTTTCAACTGGGAAGGATCTTTTCCAACTTGCAAAGAGCCTCACAAAAGGACCACGAAAAAGCACACCTCACCTTAAGGTTAACAACAGCACAATAACCAATCCAGTCCTAAAAGTGGAAACCTTTGCGGATAGTCTCGTAGAGCAATTTCGGAACAATTCTCCATTATACCCCCTACAAGACCGCAACGTAAACACCACCATTAGGATCATGCTAGAACAGCCAGAGGCACACCCCACGCCACCTCCAAACATCACAACCCAAAGCGTGAGGGAGACCATAGCATGTCTCAAGCGCAGAAAAGCCCCCGGTATAGACCAAATCTCCAACCTGACCATCAAAAAACTACCGCAGCAACAAACTGAGGACTTAACCAAGATCGTCCAAGCCACTCTCCGCCTCTCCCATTTCCCGTCAAAATGAAAAGAGGCCAATGTCATACTTATAAGGAAACAAGGCGAATCTAGTACCAACCATAGTAGCTATCGCCCAATCAGCCTTCCCCCTGCCCTTGGCAAAGTGGCAGAGCGACTCATCAACAGAGACTTACAGGACACGGTCTCTCACCTGCGCCTGCTACCCGACGAGCAGATGGGTTTCAGCATTCGACATCCCATCTAGCTACCCGACTAGGCCAAACCATATTGAAGGGCGCTAACCGTAGAATGGAGACAGGGTTAGTTCTCCTAGATATCTCGCAACCCTTCGCTTCGACAAGATGTAGCAGCAAGGCCTCATTCTAAAGCGTCACTCTGGAAAACAACACCACCAACCAAGCACAATCCACAGCCAGACCAGAGCTTGCCGGCGTACCGCAAGGCTCACCTCACTGCCCCCTACTGTTCAATCTTTTCATGGCAGATATACCGAAAATTAGAGAATCGACTCTTCAAGCCTACGCTGATGACACTGCAATCATAGCCACAGCTCGAAGCAGACCAATTATACGAGCCAGACTACATATTCGAGCCAGACTACAGAGACACCTCAATAGCATCTAAACCTGGATGGACAGGTAGAGGCTGAGAATTAACCCCAAAAAGACACAACCCATCATATTCGGAATAAATAAAAAGAGACCTCCGGAAGAAAACACCACTCTCCTGGACAAAAAAGGTCAAGTACCTCGGAATCATTTTCGACAGCAAACTCAACTGGGCGAAACATGTCAAATACGCCAAGAACAAGGCAAAAGGCCAACTCATACAACTATACCCACTCCTAAACAGACATGGCAAGCTGAACACCTAAACAAAGATAAACACATACAAAATATATATCAGACCTATAATAACTTACGGATCTCCAGCCTGGGCTACGACCATCAAACACAGTCATCTTCAACCGCTACTAAGCCCAGAAAACAGGATTGTACGAATCCTCCTAGGCGCACCATCGTTTGTTCGAAACACAACAATTCGCAGAGACACACAGCTCCAAGAACGGAAAAACTATTTGGACGATATTTGCACTAACCATTTCACTAAAGCAACAACAGCTATAAACCCAATCATAAGGGAAAGCCACGCCCCAGCCCCGCCAGGCGCAATGTACCCCTTTCGAGGGAACCACATAATTTGAGGAAGCCAGTCCAACCTCGCCCATGCGGTCCACCACGCTTGGACCAACAAATACTCTTCCAGATCTGGATCTCCAGAAGAAAACCATGAACCAATGGGGAACATAAAATAGGTAATATCTTTCCCAAACCTAATAATCTCCTATTTAGCCAAGTTAAAAAAAAAGAAGTTGTCGAATTTGCCACAACCTAGATATCTCAGTTAAAAATACGGGTGTCTTAGCAGGGTTAAAGAGGAAGGTAAGTTAATTGTGTCAAATCGTACGTACAACAGTTCCTTTTCTTGAAGCTAGGTCAGAAAACGGTTAGTTCGTAAGCAGCTATTATGAGATGATTATAAAAATGGATGTTTTTTAACAAAAATAGTACTTTTATTTAAATATCAATATCCAAGTTCAAAATATAATTAACACACAGCCTAACGCACGGATAGGTATTACATATAATATTTTTGGTTAGTCCATTATTTTTATCGAAAGTATTATTGGTATTACTCGTATGAAATTAAAATCTTTGTAAAGACCGCTGTGATGTTTGTTTACTGTTTATTAGCCAATGATATTCGACTTGCAAGTAGTGTGCAGCATAAATTCAAATAATGTCATAACATTATGAATGCCTCTCGTTAGGCTTATAATTTCAATGTGGGAGTTAGGGACAGCCATAGGATATATAGTTATATATATTGACCAGTTTTAATGCCACAATTAGATTCAAATTTGTTTGCATATGCACCTATATTAGGAAACAATGGACACTGATAGTATGCAATTTCTGTGCAAAATTTTAGTATGATTGTTGCGTGAAAATGATTTAATAAAGTGATTTGTTGAAAAATATTTGTTTATCAATTAAATTGATTTTGGTGAATGTTGACATTAGATGTCTGCTTTGCCAAGACATGATCAAAACTTGAATTTCTCAAAAAGAGTTGTACCCTAGGAAACCCCTGTTTGGAAAGGCACTTGCTCCTGATCCTTTTTACTTCTAAGCTCATTTTTTATTATGTTTTGAAATCTTCCACTGTTTCTTTGCAGTGTTTCATTCAGACTGGGGCGTTTCTTTATTAGTTTATTTCTTTTCCTCTTAGTGTTTTGCTGCTCTGAAAACAGCGATCACTGCTAGTTCAAATTGGTTTAAGACCGTAACATCTTCGCAAGTGGCTTCATTTGTTAGTAATAATGTACCTAGTCTATTTGGTTTTTCGTAATTCCATTTGGACTTCTCCAGCTCCGTCATCTTCTCTCTAGGAGTTGATACAGGAAAAAGCTCGATCGATGGTTCAGCTCAGCTGAATCATTCCTTCAAGGCCAAATTTCAAATCCTAGAATCTCAGACACCCCAGGTAAACAGTTATTTTCTAACATAGCTGAGTTAAAGACTAAAAAAAAGAGAACCTGCCAGTTACCTAAATACATATAATTATTATTCTTATCGATTTGGCAAAACTGCAAAAAGTAATAGTCACACTTGATCTTTAAATTGAAAAATAGTACAATGGATAAAATAATGAGTCTTATTATTTTCAAATCCGGCACTGGCTTGAAAATAGGGGTTGTAAAATAAGGGCTCGAAACCGACCGTTGGAGGATTAGGGACTAATACGCCCCTGCGGGATGATATCCATCCGACAAGGCAGGTGTAGTTGGTTTGCTTTTGCATTTCTCTAACTCTAAATATAACTGTGTAAACAACATCTCTCATACGGGCGAGGCAAGCGGCAGACAAGTAAACAGTAAACAACACAGCACATTATGTGTGCCGCACAAACGTGTGTGTGAGTGTACTGCTTTCAGTTCCAAACTACGCGGTCCGTCGAGCTCAGGCCGTCATTCAATACTCTCCCGATATCGTGATATTTTTTCCGCTAATTTGTTAGCGGTGGTACTACGCGGCCTAACCTTACTTTTGAAAAGCGCGCTCTTTATTTTTCGGCCTTACGTAATTTGTTTAAAGGACCACGACGCGAGTGACAGGTGATTCATTGAATTGACGGATATTTGAAAGGACTTTGTTTTGACCGCGAATTGGCCTACTTTTTTTTTGAACAATTTGTGGATTGGTCCTTATCAAGGGAATTATGCAAAACTGGCTGTGAGTATTTTTTCTTTGAGCAAATTTTACCATGTCAATGTTAAACTATATTGAAAAAATATTATTTTGGTACAATAAAACTTTTTTGTTATTTCAAGAATAAAAATAATCCTTAATACTTACTTTATTTTAATAATTCATTTGATATTTATACAATTATTTTTTACCATGTGCTTATCCTGATATGTACTTAGTGTTTTTTTTTTTAACAAAAGCATTTTGAATAGTGAAACAAAATTTAACTTCTCCTTTTTTGTTATTTCAAGAATTAAAACAATCCTCAATAATTTAATTGATATTGGGGCAATTATTTTTTATCATGATTTTACCCTAATACCTTTTTTTTTTTTCTAACAAAAACATTTTATATAGTAAAAAAAAACTCGATTTTTTCCTTTTTTGTTATTTCAAGAATAAAAATAATCCTCAATACTTTATTTTTAATAATTCATTCGATATTCAGGCTTAGGCAATTATTTTTATAGTTTTTTTTGACAATTTTTTTTTAAACAATCTACACTCATCAAAATAGTCTAGGGAACAAGAAATATCTGTCTTTCAATTTTAGGAAAGAACAACTTTTTAAAAAAGATAAAGTGAGTATTATTTATTGAACAAATCTTGTCAAATTTACCATGTCGGCTTTTTTTTGCAAACTTATTTAGTTTAAATATTTTAAAAATTAAATCAGCAAAAATTTCTGATAAGTATAGGAACTATCTTGTTCCCTAGACTATTGTGATGTGTGTATTTTATATTTGTCTGACGCTAAAAGAGTTTGTTTTCTTTTTTGAAATTTTTATTAGTAACAACTTTTCGTATTTAGTTTGGAAGCAGATCTTTACTACGCAAAACTGTCTCTGACTAATTACATATTTTTATGGGTGATAGATCACTTTAGGTCCCTTTGATTTTCAATATGATTTTGATTATTACTGATAAACAAAGCATTTTCAAGATGGTTAGCGAGAAAAAAAAATATGGATCCTTGAATATTTATGAAGTTATGATTTTTTTAATTTAATTTTTTTCTTTGTTGATTGTGCATCTTTGATAGGTATAGCGATATTAAGCTGATAAGAATAGATATTATTTATTGATCTGTGTCAAAGGTTGAGAAGCGAGAGGATATAAGACATTAGTGACTAGTGTTTTTTTACAATTATTATTATTTTGTTCATTTATTTTGTTGACTTTAATAGATTTCTATATTTTATGGCAAAATCAGCATACCACCTTGGTAAATATTTACAATATTTAATGTTTATGGAAAAGGTTTTTTTGAGGTTTTTTACTGATTTTATTAATTTTTTACTGGTTTTACCTAATTTGTGATTAGTTTCCTTAATTAACTTAGTAGTTGTCTATTAATGACCTGACGGTGCAATCTTTGCATTAAAGTAAATGGTCAACATTTTGAACAATTATTGTAAACCATAATTTATTTGTTGATAAATAAGCAAAATTAATAAGTAAACAGTGATTTAATTATTGCGAGGAATAAAAGTATCAAATAGGTTTTTTGCTCTACAGCCCAATGGCTCATTTGCGGACATATGTTTATATAAACAAAAATGCTTGTTTTTTGTTTTTATATCCCTTACTACCCTTTAAAGTTTGTCGGTATCTTTTTAGGACACCCTGTATATTTAAATAATATATTGTTTATCAAAAAAATGAACTCATGCATATTTTTTTTTTTTTATTTTGTCCTCATAACTGCTCCAATGCAAATTTGAACATAGAAAAATTGTCCGTTTTTAGGGACCTAATGTGTTCTAGACCCTTTTTATGATTTTTTTTTTTTCATACTTCATGAGTAATCATGAGTATATTTTATGAGACTCAAAAATTTCTCGATTCTGGATTAAGACAATTATTTTTATATGTTTTTATCCAGATTGCTTTTTTTTCTGGTTTACAAAACCTTTTCCACAATTTATTTCATTTTTAGCTTAAACTCAATAGTGAAAAATCACAGATTATTGTTTATTTTTTCAAATGATACCTATTAGTTCAAGGAATATAGACCAGATTTTTATTAAAACAATTATGCAAAACTGGCTGTGAGGAGTATTTCAAGGAAAATTTCATCAATCTTCGAGTACTCATGTAATGAAACTTAAGATAGTTTTCGTTTTCAATGTTAAACTATTCAAATAAAAAATAATGTCAGACAAATTTAATTTTGTTTAAAAAAAAAAACATGGTTTATATTTTTGTTGCTTCAAAAATGAAAATAAATTAAAATTATCTTGAATATTTCATTTGAATAATTTATTTGACATTCAGGCAATTATGTTTTTGTCCTACTTAGGTCTGTTTTTTTGTTGAACACAAACTTCTCAAATTACTTACGAGGGGTGTACACGAGAGAGCGTTTTTAAAAAACTTTATTTGACTAATACAATAGAACTGACTTAAATCTAGAAATTACTCCTTTTATAATATTAAAAATAAGCTGAATAGAACAATATAAATGCTGAATTGGAGTTCTCACGGGATATAACTCCTCCATCCTAAGTTAAAAGCATACCAAAAAAGGTATGGTTTTATACAATGGAAAAAATAAAGAAAATGCTAAAAGAAAAATATGATTAAACTAAATAAGTAAAAGTAAAATTGTTAAATTACAATATCGTCTTCTAACGAGGCTTTTTGGGCACGTTTAAGGCGATGTTTCAAAAGTAATTTATAGACAGTAAAAATGCATAGTATTCCTAAAATACAATAAAGTAAAATTGTCCAAAAATTTATTTGGTGCATTTCCATTGGGTTAGATATTTCTTGTAGTCGTCTCTTCTGTTCTTGAAGCGTTGTGGCAATTTCATTGGTTTCCTTCAAGTTGATGGAGTTCAGGTCAAGTGTAGGTGGATTAAAAGCAAACTCCTTTGTTTGGTAATAATTCATCGATAAATTCAGTGTAGGCAAGGATACATCATCATAAGTCAAACGATTGGGCTTATAAGTTCGTAGAGTAATTGACTTTATTTGTAAGCTGCATTCATTTGTAGATTCGGCTAAGTAGGAACCATGAAGCGGTACGTTGTCCTTAGAATTTGGACAAGATGCTGAGACAATTAGTTGTTCGGGCGTTGTGATTATCCATTTTCCGTCCGTTATTTTAGTGATTTGGACATTTTGTAGTCTAATACGGAAAGGGTGGCAAGTAGTGGCATTTTCTTTGTATAAAATCAATTGGACTGCACATGGAGGCTCATGATCAATGTATGCAGTATGGGCTTCTTTACATAAGTACTCGTTGGGTAACAATTGGTTGCAGGTTTGGTCCATATAAGAGTACTTGTTGTTGCTAAGTGCAAGGTATGGTTTGTGTGGAAAGTTCATAAAGAAATCAGGATTTTGTTCGCTTGGAATTGGTATCGGAAATAATTGATAATAGTGATAGACATCCGATTCGACCAATGGTATTTCCAAGATGAAGGTGATAATCAGGCCCTTTGAATAACCTTTAATCTCGATTATTTTTTCGTAGTTCAATATGTTATCAATATTGGCTTCTAATGGTAACACGTCATGCACTAATTGTTTTTTAAATCTACAAATTTCTTTTATTAGCTCTAATGGATCGATTATTGAATTATGGAGCGTATTGATTTTAGCAAATGAGATAGCTACTTCCGTTTTTTCTAAGATATCGTAAATTGTTTGATATAGCATTGATATCTGATTAATTATTATGTGAGTTTGGAAGTATTGATGGTTGTCAATAGCAGACAGAGCTACCTTTTTTATTGTGCTTTCAATTTGCAGTATTCTCGATTTTAGCGTTATTTGATTGGCAGATATATTAGAGATAACGTTTTGAAATTGTTCAATGGTTTTCCCTAATAAATTAATTTGATTAAAAGATGATTTTTTAAGTTTATCTTGATTTTCTTGTAATTGTCTAATTTGCCTATCATAAAGATCTGCATCATCTTTATCAAGATTGCCAGTAATGCATTTTATTAATGATCCTAAAGGATTCAAGATGCCACGTTTTTGTCTTTTTGAGTAACTACTCGTTGGGTCAATTTGCCTTATGTTGTTTTCTATGCGTTTTTCTAATGCCATTAAAGGCAGCAACGTGTTTTTATATTCTCGTTCATAGGATACATTATTTGTAATGTTTTTAATTAAATAGTTAGCGTTTTCTTTGATCAAATAAAATTCGTTAACAAGGGGTGTTAGGTCGTGAATTTGTATTAATGACCAATGATTGGAAACTATTTTGGCAGTTCCCAATTTATAAGGTAGGAGTCCGGGATATTTATTCAGGTTATGGAAGTTTATTCCTACTGCTCCGATGTTGAAGATTCGGATCCATCTGTAACAATAGATTTGATTTTGGTTTCGTTGATATGCAAAATCTCTTTTCGATTTGTTTTGGGGTTTTCAATTTCAATCTTGTTGTTTTCTAATATTTTTGTTAAGATGAATGGACCTGTGAATCTGTGGTGTAATTTACCACGTCGTTTGTCTTGTTTTTTATATATTTGACACCCTATGGTTAGTTTTTGAGGGGTCTTCTTTTGATTATGTTTGTCAATAAGTTTTTGTTTTAAATTAATTGAGTCTTGTTGTATTTTGTTATACAAAGCTTCCGTGTTAGTTTTGTGATTGTGGACATATTCAGTGAATATTTGCGCGGGCATAAGTTGCATAGGGTCACTAGAAGAAGTGTGTCCTAAAATCAATGTATAGGGAGTAAAGCCTGTGCTTGAATGGATTGTGCTATTATAAGCAATTACAGCATAGGACATTAGGGTTGATACGTCAGTATTTTTGTTTTTTTCTCGTAGTATTCTTATGTGTTCTATCAGGGTTGAATTTAACCTTTCAACGGGCGAATTCGACTCGTGATGATTTGGAGTAGTAAAATGGATTTTAATATTATGTGTTTTCAATAAATCCTTAACTACTTCGTTCTTGAATTCTGTTCCATTATCGGATACAATCAATTTAGGGATACCGAAAAATGAAAAGAAATGGATTAG